CCCCACCCCACCCCCAGCAGGTTTTCAGAGGCAGTAAATCAGAAGGGAGGAGGTTGACTTTCTTTCTCCTGCAGAGCAGCAAATAGATTCAAACCATGGATAGGGCAGCACAGTTTTTTTCCCAGCTATATAGGCCACCAGACCTCCATTAATTTTTACTATGTTGATCTTGTTATGTGCCATCGAGTCAACTACTCATAGCAATCCTATGAACAATGGATCTGAGCCTTGCCCTATCTTGAGTCAAGCTCACTCTCTCAGACTTGACTTGACCCTGCTGACAGAGCCACCGTGTCAAACCATCTCATCCAGGGTCTTTCTCTGCTGTGCTGACCCTCCACCCTTTCAAGCATGATGTCCTTTTCCTAGGACTGGCCCCAGTTGATCATTTTAGTATGTGCTGTACTGTAGAGTTGGAACCAATGCATAGCTGAGCCTCGGCTGGTTTTCAGAAGCAATTAATCACATGGGAGGATATTTCCCATCCTTCTTCCTCGTAGCAACAGGTGGCCTCGAACCATGTGCCTTCGGGTTTGCAGAGCAGCTTCTTGCCACTGGGCCACCAGAGCTCTAGTATAGGTATATCTTACATAGAAGGAGCCCTGGTGGTGTAATCCATAGAGAACTGTGTTGCTAGCCCAAAGGCCTAATTTCTCATGTCCACCCGCCACTCAGAGGAAGAAAGATGAGTAATCTTCCCGTGCAGTTTACAGCTTCAGAAACCCACTGGAGGATCAGCTACTGGATTCTAATGAAAGAGAGAGAACAGTCTCAAATACAGAGTCCTGGTAGCACAGGGGTTAAGTGCTTGACTGCTGATCAGATGTCAGGAGTTTGAACCACCAGGAATTCCACAGAAAGAAAATGGGACAGTCTCCTCCCAATAAATTACAGAATAGGTAACGCTGTGGGCATTTCCAGTCTATCCTTCAGAGTGTCTGTTAGTCACAAATGACACTACAGATAGTGTGTTTGGTTTGGTATTGTTGTCTTGGCATATCTATTTATCTATATATATCTAGGATTTTGAAGCTCCATCTCACATACTTTGGCCACATGGCCAGGAGAGACCAATTCTTGGAGTAGGACATCATGCTTGGAAGAGTGGAGGGACAGTACAGAAGAGTGAGACCAGGCTTGAGATGGATTGATGCAATAACTAGGGCAATGGTGGTGGGGGAGGTGTCAGAGTCAGTGAGACTTGCTCAGGACAGGGCAGGCTTGAGAGCTGTTTACATAGTGTCACAATGAGCCACAAGAGAGTAGATGGCACATAATAATAACAACAATATATCTATAGAGGCAGTTCTGGTGCCCTAGTGACAAGACTCTGCTCTGCAATCCCAAGGGCACATTGTTCGAATCCTCCAGATGCTCCATGATAGAATGATGAGCAGTCTCCTTCCGTGTGATTAACTGCCTCTGAAAACCCACTGGAGAGTCAGCTGTGGGTCAGTTCTGACTCAATGGTACACAACAACTATAACTATATATCTGAATTAATACGTAACTGGAGGTCTTGTATTTTCTTTTGCTAAATATAAAAACCTAGATTCCGCTGCACTTTTTAAGGATTTGTACATAATGGGAGCAAAAACAAAACATTCATGCAAAGTACCATGATTCGCATTTCACAGAATACACATTTCAGGTAATGAGTGCAAACACTGGATAAAAACATGTTTGGTAAATATTGTTTGCTCATTAAATAAAAATTGGAAACATCTGTCCAAATTTTCCTGAACTATTCATTTCCATAAGGTCTCACTCTTTTGTTTAGTAGAGCTGGTAGAAGCATAGCGACCTCAAAACACATTGCAGCTGAGTGGATTCTGTATCACAGCAATCCACAGAACAGAGTAGAATTGCCCCTGAGGCTTTCCAAGTCTTCACAGAGGGAGCTCTGGTAGCTTAGTGGTAAGGAGTTGCACTGCCAAGCCAAAGGCAGCCAATCCACCAGCAATCCACTGGATCAAATTCCCCAGCTGCCCTGTGAGATGTGCAGTCTCTACCTGTTTGATTTACTGCCTATGAAAACCCACTGGAGAGTCAGCTATGAGCTAAGATGGTACAAAACTACAATCTTTAGAGGAGCAGACTGCTTCATCTTTCTACTTCTGAATGACGATTGGGTTTAAACTGCCAGACTTGCAGTTAGCAGCTGAGCCCATAAACATTGAGCTACAAGGGCTACTATAAAGCACAGACTCTCCTTTAAAAAAATCATGGAAGTAAAGATTGATTTACATGGAATGGAAAGACTCTGGGTGGTGAAACAGTTGTACTCAACTATAAACTCAAAGTTTGGTGGTGTGAATGTACCCAGTGGTACAGTGGAAGAAAAGTCTGGCTGTCTCTTTCCATTAAGGTTACAATCCAGTAAACCCAACTGTAAAAACAGTTTTACTGTGGCAAAGATGGGGCCCCCAGAGTTGGAACTGACTCCAAGATAGTGAAGGTTTGTTCAGGGAATGGTATTCATAAACTTTCCAGATAAATCTTACAGCTTTGAAGTTCCAGATGAAGTTATATATGAGTTACATAACTTCTGTTTGCCTTCTCTGTGCAAGAAACTATTGAAGTAGCCACTTTTGCCCACATGACTTGATTCTGAAGAGAATTGGCCACTTGTTGGTTTAACTACTTACTCCAGCATCCTGCAGGGGGAAAAAAACCCCACTGTATGGTAGACAACCTCCATTCTTCAGGAGGCAGTCTTTGGTGAGGAGGAAAATTCTCCACGTTTCCTCCTCTACAGGCATTGAAGGGTTAATTGAAATACTGTTTTCTGAAGACTGTGTCCTCCTATTTTAGCAACTGAAGAACCAATTCAAATTTGTGGTAGAGGTTTGGGGATGATAATTGTATTTTGCTTTTCTTTCTGTTTTCCAAGAAAATGGTGTCCCTTTGCTTCTTAATAATAAATGGAGGGCTGTGAAATCTTTTCAACACGAACTGGTCATCTTGTTTAATTACATGTTGCATATTTTAAGAAATATTCATTCTAGACAGTAAAGAGCCAGAACGGGATGAGGATGGGATTGCCTTGTTTTTCTGGGTCTTGAAAGTTTGCCACCTTTGACAGGGTGCAGTCCTACCATTTTTTTAGTGCAAATTTTTTTTAGTTTTCCTACCCTGACAGATTTTCACCTCACATAGGTTCCTACTTTCATGGACTTCATGTTTTACTTTTATTAAGTTCCTCCATAATATTGGGCTCACACTAGATCAACTTATTGCCATGGAATAAATTCTGACTGATGATAGTGACCGTATGCTCTTTTTGAGCCAAAGTGTTGAGTCAGAACTGACTCATAGCTGACCCTCTACTGGGTTTCTGAGTCTTATGGTCTTTGAGTTATTCTAAGCTGTTCTTAGATCTTAACTATGGAATAGGAATGATAGGAAAAATTAAACTATGGCTCTTTTCCAAGAAATATTTGTAAGGAAGAGGAAAGAAGGAATCATGGGCAGTCAGTGCTGAAAAGGCCCTTCCACTTTAGTCTAGTCCAGCTCCTTCATGTGACAACTGAGAAACTGAGCACCTATAGATGAAGTGACCTGTCTGAGGTTAGACAGCTGCTTGTTGCAAAGAAGCAACTATGACTTGAGAGCCCTCTGCTTAGATCTGCACTAACTTCTAAGAGCCATGAGGATGCCTCAAGCTACGAGGAGCCTCAAGGGTGAAATCACAGACTTTTGAAGTTTCAGTTTTCCTCTGGTTATTGCTTCTCTAGTGAAGTTCTCTAGTTTAGTGCTGCCTTTAAGCATGTGGGATAGATTAATAAGATAGGGAGGCAGTGCTCGGTGAGACGAACAGCTGACACACCTGTCTTCTAACTGAGAGTGTGAAGATTCAAGTCCATCTCCCAACTCAGGATGAAAGTTATAACAGTTTAATTCGTGGGGGGCGGGGGGGGGCAGGAGTAATATCAGTCACTGAAAACTCTGTAGGGCATAGTTCTACTCCGATACACACTGGGTTGCTGTGAGTTGGAACCAATGGTAACTGGATTTGTGAACGGTAAAGTCAGGACTGTCATGGTAAGGAACTGCTCCACCGGAAACTCTCCAGCAGAAATTGGCAGAGTTGCTCCTTTGAAAACTGCATCCTTACCAGATGATATCTGAAATCTACTTGTCTCTCAGGAGACAGGCTGCAGTAAGATACAAGAAAGAAAGACATTTAAACAAATACCCCTATTTTGCTTTTCTCACCACTTCATTTCTGATTGTAAATCTATATGCTTCATTTTCTAAACTACAACACACATAGTGCTTTCAAAGAGAGTATTGTTTCATCTGTATTTTGTTTGGAAAGAGGTAAGATGCCAGTCCCTGGTGAAAGGGATCATGGGATTGACACCATGGCTGCAACAATGAGGTCAAACATAGCAATGATTGTAAGGATTCCCCAAGATCAGGCCATGTTTCGTTCTGTTATACATAAGGCCACTGCGAGTTGGTCCTGATTCACATCACCTAACAACAACAGGGTGCTGAATAGTGATGGAAAATAGAATCACATTAAATTTCAATTCTAGTCCAGACCACTCTAATGTCCTTATATAAACCTCTCTTGTTTATCTTGATTTCCTCTTTAAAAAATTGGGCATATCAAGTCATATTTGGAGTGTATTTTTAATAATTAAAAAATGGAATGACATGACACTGAACTCAGTGTTTTTGCTTTGTTTTGTTTTGTTTTGTTTTTTTTATTTGCATCAAGGATTAGCCAATTTTCTTTAGAGCCATGAGAAAAAGCCCTTTCTGGACATCCCTCTAGCAATTGAAACTAGCCCAGGGTAATTGGTATCAGTTGGTCTATACTTTTCTTTAGAAGGTATGGAATAGAACTTAAAGGATTTTGACACTGGGTGGAACTGGGGCCTGTTGAATCAGGTGCATGAAAGTGACAGACAAAGACGTTCCAGGTTAGGGTGGTGCATGGATACCAAACTGACCACACTATTTCAACCCGAGTGTAATTTGTCTTGCAGGTTGACCTGGGTCTTCTACGTTTCGTGACAGCTGTTGGGACACAGGGAGCCATTTCAAAGGAAACCAAAAGGAAATACTTTGTCAAGACGTACAGGATAGATGTTAGCTCCAATGGAGAAGACTGGATTCCCATAAAAGAAGGAAATAAACCTGCTGTAAGTTGGCCACCACTCCTCACCAGACACCTTCCTATCCGGAGGGTATTTGATCTTTTGGTCTTTTCAATGAATGATCAATTTTTTTGCTTTTTAATGGATTCAAAATGAAATGTGCATTTGGGGGTTTAAGTCTGACAAAAGTTGGCAAGATGTTGCCCTGCCAACCCCAGGTAATGTGATTTGAATCCACCAGAGGCTCTGCAGGAGAAAGCTAGGAAATCTATGCAATACACTGCCTCTGACAAGCTGCTGGATAGTCAGCGGTGGTTCGATTCTGATTCTACAGTACATAAAAACAAGTTGTCTCATCTTCCCAGATCCAGAAGGGAAAAAAAAGAAAAAGAAAAAGGAAATTTCAGAGACTCTGCCAAGATAACTCAATATCAGACATCTTGAGTGTCGGATTAAAAAATCATTTGAAGTGCTCCACTGGGCTCTGGACTGTACATAGAACTACACTGTCCTCCTACAGCCTACAACCTTTTCTTTCTTTTCTCTGTGATTTGGTTTTGTTTTGGTTTTATTTTGCTTTTGTTTCTTCCATTCTCTTTCATCGATTCAGTCTTTCGTCCTCTAGGTAATAGACCAGTTTTAGAAACCTTCTTTTCATCTACCCTCGTTGGCTTAGAAACTAATTTACAAGTGTGTTTGGCTGCTTCTGGTGAGAGCTAATAGAACTAACGGCGTTTTGTTCTGTCCCCTTAGATCACACAAATAAAACGCTACCTCCTCATTGCTTTCAACCAAGGAGGCAGCGCAGACCAGGCTTGTCCCTGGGGCTCTGTGTCCTAAATCATTCGGAACAGGACTGTTTTTCTGCACCTGCTTGTTTATTTGAAGTTATCCTTGCTCTGATTTACTAATCAAAAGATTTCTGGGGACTCAAAACTCACAGGTTCCTAAAAATTAAAAGCTTGCTCTTGGAGGCAGAGTAAAAAGGAGGGAATTGATTACACCAGTAGTGAAGTCTCAGGTAACTTGAAATTATGAGTTTGGGAAAAGGCCAATTAACATGCCCTTGTCTCTCTTTTTGAATGTTCATGGCCTTGATTTTTCTCCTCTGGATCTAAGACTGAGTAAAGTTCTCTCTATAGCATGTGAGGAAAGAACTAGGAATTCCTTTGGTTGGATGTAAACCACCATTCTCATTTGTGTCATACATAATGGAAGGGATAGGCACACACCTCTGGGGTTAGGGCGCTCTGGTGGTGTTGTCCGTAACAAGTGTCACTACCAACCCAAAGGCCACGCTTCTCTGACAGCCCGAATCCAACAGCCTCCAAAGGAGAAAGATACGTGGTCTCTTCCTGTGCAATTTACAGCCTCTGAAACCTGATAGAGCATCAGCTCTGAGTCACTTACAATGTCACTTACTCAATGGCAATGATTGTTTGTTTGTTTCTTTGTTTGTTTGAGGTACATAGTTGCTCTGTGAAGGAAAGCCGGACAGCCACATTCAAGGCCACTGTCCAGCTCTAGAGGACATGGGACTAGTTTTTCTCTAAAGGACAAAATTCTTACCATCAATATTTGTGGATGTTGAGTGGGTAAATTTTGATCCCAATTTTTTTCTTTTTTTTTTAAATTAAAAAATAAATAAAAATAAAATCACTAAATGCTAAGGATACACCAATGATGAAAAGAACCTAGTGAGGAGAAAGAAAGGGCATTAGACATTCAGACTATTATTTTAGGGGAAAAGTTCTGAATCTTCAAGGTGTCCTTTTCTACTGCCCTGTATGGATTATTTCAGCCTAGTGTAAACATGTCAGAGACCGCCACACAGATTTGAGGGGTATCTGATAGTGCACATGCATCAAATGGGTCTATATCAGGAACATGTTGGAACACAGAAGAGCTTCCAGCTTAGGAGACAGAAGGAACAAGGCAAGATTCAGCAGAGGTGAAGACATGAGGTTTTATGAAGCTTGAGTTCCAGCTCGGTAACTCAGACACCAGTGGGAGTCTAAGTCTTGGTGTTTTCTGTCTTTCTCTCTACCTTGGGCATTTCTGCCACTGTTAATCCATGTCTCTCCTGCTTTCCTCAGCAAGAGTTGGCCATGCCACATGGAGAACATCCTTAGACTCTTAACAGCTCCAGAAATCCCCTTTATGCTGAACTGAATTTATGTATTTGCATAGTTTTGGTTAACATAAAATTCTCTCATTGTGAAAAAAGTGTGTAATACCCACCCTACCCCCACCTCTGTTAGAGCTCTCAGCCAACTTGGCTTCTCTCTGAAGTGACATGCTGACCCTTTAAGGAAGGTCCCTTCCGGACATAACTATCTATTATTCTTTGTCACACAAAAATGCTGCCACACAGATTGTTTCCCAGACAGATATCTTGAAAATAGGACCAAAATCTAAAGGCCACCACAAAGTAGGATAAATTATGATGCTGCATTTCCCCAGAGAAGGATCAGGCTAACAACTTTCTAAAGCATTCAACTACTTTCTCTCATACACTGCTTAAAGGAAATGGAATAAAAGCACTAAACAAGTCTTTCATGAGTCCTTTCTCCCAGGAGGTAAGAGCAAGTGTTCGGGATCTAGAGACTTCCTCCATGGACTTACCTTGAAAGGTGGGGAGAAAATCTCCAGTTCTCTGCTGGGCCCCAGTAATGCTTTTGTTGCACCATCTACAGGGAGGATTTTGACTCATTTGTGCAGAGATGCATGGAGCAAGGCATAAAACCAGGGGACGTTAATTTCACATGGAATGTCCTCAATCTAGGACTGAAATGAAAACCTGGAAGTGAGGCCCAATTTTGTTTTGGGTTTTTGTGTTTTTTTTGTTTTTTTTTTCACCAGAAACAAGTCTGCTGCTGAAATATTCCAGGATAGCAAATAATCTCCACTCTTCAGAGATTTTACTAGAGAACGCTGTTGCAATGCTATGCCCATGGCATAGTGGTTCCAATTGATGCCTAGAGAGAAAGGGCTCATGTGTGGTTACTCACTGCATTTTCAGCTATAACCTCTCCTTGCCCTCATGCATTTACAGCCATACTTCCATTTTTCTTATAATTAAATGAGTCATTTATAATGAAGATGCTTGAAAGAACTGATTTTCAGTTTAAAATAATTTGCCACTCAGTTTTTCTCTTGACCATGAAAATAGTTTTAACCAATAACTAAAGAATATTGTTGTCATTTTGTTTCATCAAGTCGGAGTTGTAGCTTACCCTCCAGCAGGTTTTCAGAGGCAATAAATCACACGGGAGGAAATTACCCCGTCTTTCTTCCTTGGAACAGCTTGTGGATTCAAACCACATGCCTTTGGATTGGCAGCAAAAATCCTTAACGCTAAGCCATCAGAATTCAAAGAATATTAAGCTTGTTAATTAACACAAGGGATATTCTCTTCCATCAAGAAGTGAAGACAAAAGGGAGGAGGCTTCTTTATTGGCTACAATAGCCGAGGACATAACCTAGAATCTCAAAAAAACCAGATCCCACACTGAACTCAAAAGGAACATTCCATCTGGAGGTCCCTGGGAAAGTGAAATCATGAGAGTTCCCGTGAAATGTCTATAGTATTCTGTGAGTCCTTGTAGTAAAACCATTAATTCCCCACTTTATAGGGAATAAGATATATCCTTTTAAAAACCTTTTCTTGTCATAATGCTTTTAAGATTCTGGACATTCTAGTTACACAGAAAACTGAACTGATAATTAGGACAGCATTCTTTTAGATAGAATTCTTTCTGATTGCCATCACTTGGAAAACAAAACATTACAAGTTATTCATTTCACCTCAACCTTGATAGGCAAGGCTCAAAACTGTAAATATTTTGGAATTTAAAAAAAAAAGATTTGTTTTCAGTCAAAAAGGCATGTATGCTATTTATTTAAAGACCTTTTCTTTCTCTTCATAGATCTTTCAGGGGAACACTAATCCCACAGACGTTGTATATGGTGTTTTCCCCAAACCACTGATAACTCGATTTGTCCGAATCAAACCTATGAATTGGGAAACTGGTATATCTATGAGATTTGAAGTCTATGGCTGCAAGATAACAGGTAAGCTCCAGCATGAAGGCTATATAAACTTATGCATTTAGGAAGAGTAATTTTATATTGATAAAATCACATTTTTATGTGAAGGTTAAAAAAATCTGTTTCAGAGAGAGACAAATAGTAAATTCAGGTCCTGTACTTTTCATTGGCTTATTTCTTTGGACAGCATGTTTCCCTTTCAAAGCCTCGGTTATCTTGCTGGAAATAGTCATAACATTGTAAACAGAGTGGTTACAATAATGACTGGGGGAAATGAGTGTAAATTATGTAGCACAGCATATAGGACATGTAAGAGCTATTTGCTAAGTAATGAAGACCCTTCTTGTTGTTGTTGTTGTTATGTGCCATCGAGGCACCTGAGACTCACAGTGACCCTGTGTGCATTAGCTCTGAGCCCTGCCCTATCCTGAGCCAATCTTACCGTTTCTGACTGACCTAATCCTATGGGTTCATTCTGAATTGTCAGTACACAACAACAGCAATAGCCAAAAGGTTAGTGGTTCAAACTACTCAGAGGAACTTTGAAAGACAGGCCTGGAGATTTTCTTCTGCTTTGAAAACCCTTTGGAGCAGTTCAGCTGTGTACACATAAATCCTCATGAGTCAAAATGGCCTGTGTGGCAACAACATCCTTCTCTGTTAGACTATCCCAACACCAAGCCCTTCATCTCATGCACAGAACACTTACTCATATGAAAAATATATATTGCAGAAAAGATTTTTCCAATTCCCTTTGAATTTCAGAGTCAAGAGTTGGTCTCAATAACTTCTTTTAAGGAGAATCTTAATTCATAACATTACCTCCATTTACTCATTACCCTGTCAACATTCTCTTTGTTAGATTTTTGTCTCAATAAATCAAGTTGCTGAGAAGGGAAGCAGATAAAGTAGACCAGGTTAGGATGAAACAGCAAGTAAAACAATTGTCTTGACTTATTCTCACTGTGTGTCTATGGCTGTCTGCACTGCTATGACTTATCCATTGATCTTCCTATAAGACTCACTGAAAAGCAATTCCATTAAAGTCTCTTTCTTAAGTAAACACTTTGGCAAAACGTCCATAACAGAAAGCAGCTTAACCTTCATACTTAGCTTAAAAGTTCAAAAACAAAATCAATAGATCGATTCACCAATAAGTAATTGAGTGTCATTCACTTTTGAAAGCTTACGTGCTATCCCTAACATCATAATTTTAGTATGTATGGTTTAAGAGATTTAATTCCTCGTTCTATGAATACCAACACATTTATTTTTATTTTACTCATTTTAGTGCAATTATTTTTAGAAGTAGAAGATGCTGAATTTTGGCAGGTTTAACAGACTAAATAAGGGGGTGGGAGGAACAAACTGGGAAACTTTCCATGAAATTGCAAGTAATTTGAAGAACGAAGGAAAAAGGGAGCAGGGAACCCAAAACCACTCACTTATTATCTGTAAAGTTCATCTTACAAAATAAAACCTGAGATCTGATTATTTTTTAAAAAAAATTTTATATCTCAGAGACTTTGTTTATTATTATTAAATATAAGAATTACAAAATTCAAGGCCTTCAGGAGCTGAAATTAAGTAGAAAGGGGTTTGGAAGGAAAAAGGGTATTGAAAAATTAAGTATAACCTTGATTTTATTTTCAATCAACAGATGAGAGAAAGTTCTAGGTCATTTTTTTAGAGCATTGCAAATTGGAGAGTCTATCCATAAATCCATATAAGCAAGGCCATTTAAGGTCAGAGTGGAAATTTCTAGTCATTTCTCCAAGCTTATCTCATGTCACAAAAAGAAAAAAAAAGAAAACTTCATAATGACTCCAAATGTGTTAGTCTGAACTCTGAAGGATCTTGAAGATTTATGTCACATCCTTTCAGTTAAATAATAATCCTTATTTAAACACAAATTGCCCATTTTTGGTTTTATAAAAATTTCCCTGAGAATTCATTCTGGAACTGTCTACACATATAAAGATTTATGTTTTCATAATGATTTATTAGATTCTTTTAAAAATTATAGTTAAATTACCCATTTATCTAATAAGAGATGCCTAACATAGTATAGTCTAATATTTTAAAATATATTCTATTCTATAATTATTTTAAGTTGGGTTACTATATATTTTTTAAGTTCCTAGTGCTAGACTCTAAACCATGGTCTGTAATGTATTCTGACTACTTAATACAGAGACAGAATTTGATGAGGCAAATAGGTAATAATGGCAGCCATGTAAATAGAGTTACAGAAACATGCCAGGACTTCAGCACAGATTATCTACTTGGTGACTGTGGGGAAATGGGTTAGTCTCTCCAGTCTCCATTTCCATGTATCACAGTGAGACTATAGTGCTGATTGCATGAACGAACATTTTAAAAAATTCCTGTATTAGTGTATTTCTTAAATGGTGTCAGTGCATTAACACACTACATGGTACCCAATATAATGAGCCTAGCATCAGATCCAGCCAGCAGAGCCTTAATAAGACAGTAACACAGAATTTTCTACTTAACTGTCAAAGCAGGTCATTTTCTCCTTTTCAAGGCCACATCCCTTCAGAGTGGAGGTGAATGAAAGAAAGATAGGATGGTAGTACCCCTCTGGTCTAGAAGATCTGTGGGAGCAGGGTTGTTATGGGGTTTTGTATTGTGCCCTGTCCATCTGACACATAGTGCTCATAGTGGTTAAATTTAAATGACTCACAGTTCTTATTTCTCTTTGTGACTTACAAGTGGCTGTACCTCAAGATTGCACCCAATATTCAATAACATCATTAGGAAAATTATAAACTTAGCATGGCATACCTGGCTTTTAAGTTAAAAGCAAACACACACACACACACACACACACAAAACCTTATCAAACTCAGAATTACCCTGGGAACACATTACTTGACTTCTGATAGCTCCAGAGCCCCATGTTTTATTTGTTGTCTTTTGTTTGGTTTATTTGCTTACTTACAGTAAATAATAATAATAATAATAAATAATAATAAGATGTCCATGACCCTTAAACACTTTTTGGTTTTAGTTTAGAAATTATCTCTCAGAAAATCAATGATTTTTACAGATAGTGTGTCACCACATAGAGGTACAAAGGAACCAAACCATTCTGCTTTATAAATAATTGGTAAAGATGCACTTTTGTAAACAGTTTCATCATTTTTCAAAGATGAAACATTGCAGAAATAACCTTGCGGGGTTACTGCTCAATAGATTAGAACACACTGTGGCCTCTGCTATCTTGTTCATGGAACTCTCTTCATTGCTGCTCCACTAGTGTCAGTGGGCCTCTGTGAGAATCAGAGGTTGTCATGTGGTTCATGGACACCCCCACATCTGGGGATACTTTCTCAATCATCCAGAGAAGACTAGAACATTCTCATACAGATTCTGCCACCACATACACTTGGCTGTCATCTCATTAGTTGAAAATTGGTTAACTGCACATTTCATATACCAGTTCCATTTTTCCATTACACTGAGTACAAAGACTTTTCCTGTAAAAATCATATCTCTGAAATGATTCTCTCAGCCTCCTCCCTTCACAGAGCTCATCTCTTCCTCTTATGTGGAATTGGTTTTAAGCTTTACAAATAATATTGCCGGTTAGAGTATAAAATAGCCAATTAAAGTTGATTCAGATAAGCAGTAAGTTTTAGTGTAAGTGTAATCCCTCACATATTTGGGATATATTTATACTATACGGAAAGACACTCATTGTTTATCTGAAATTAGAATTTACCTGGATACCCTGATTTTTATTTTCTTATCTGTTTTACTGTGGCGGTAGTGGTGATGTTGGTTAAATCTAGCAACTGAACACAGCTAACTGGCATCTGAACCAACCTCCTATGGAAGACCAAAGTTCTATTTTAGAATCTCCTTCAAGACCTTGACTGTGAATATCATTTTTCTTCTAACTATTGTTAGAAATGAGTCACATAATTTTCAGTAAAAGCAAATCATGGCTTCCTTTCATTGTTTCTTGGGATGAGACAGATGTACAATACAGGGACATAGCTCGTCTAATTGTGCTCTGTGGATATGTTGGCTCACTGAGGCTGGACATCATTAGATCTGTGAGTATGTACACTGCTGCCCCAGTCAACCCTGCATTAGAGAAAAGACATTAATCTGGTAAAGGTTCGGCTCTCCTTACACTATTCAAGCTAATTATGTTTTTCTCCAAATGGTAACATCTGGTACCCATTACCTGTTAAACATTGCCTTTATAAAGGTTGGGTTTGAATCAGGCAGGTGTGACCACAGTGGCCAAAAATGTGACTTCTATTTTGGGCACTTTGAGTTTCATAGTCCCTCAGTAAAATTGTTTTTGTAAATCTTTTTTGAGTCACTACTGAGTTTATTCTTGGTTTCTTGGCTCCAAGTCTGGAGCAAGTAAATACTGAGACTGAATTATCAGCAAGGGTGCTTGCGAAAAGGACATGTGTCTTTTATTGTGCTAATAAGTTGATTCATTCAACAAATATTTACCAAGAAGAATGCTATGTATAAAATAGGGCACAAGGAGTCATAGGAAATAGGAAAATATAACTTGGTTAATGCCCTTAAAACTTAAAATCTGGGTGGGGAAACATAATAGCAGTCCAAAGGCTTGAATTTGAGCAATATTTCACATATGAAAAATGTAGACAAAGTGGTGTGAGGCATCCCAGAAAAGGAAAAACATATCAAATTGGAGAGAACAAGTGACGTAGCATTCAAATGTGAGTCAAAACTTGAAAAATGTTGGAAAGTAGAAAGAAGAAAGAGTGATTTCCTGGAGGATAGAATAGGAGAGAAAAATATCAATAGAGGTGGGAAGCTATTCAATTGACATAACATACAGAATGTGTAGAGTCAACAGGAGAGGGTGGTGGTGATCCAGTGGTGAGATCCGCACCTGCCGTGTGGGAGAGCCGGGTTCAATAACCAGCCAGTGGGACTCGTTAGCAGCCTCTACCCATCTGCCAGTGTAGACTTGGGTATTGCTATGAAGGGAAACAGATTTCACTGGA